AGAGGTGTTCTTTTCGTCAATGGGAATTATGACTTTCTCCTGGCAAGACATGGTCATGGGAGAAAAGCAGCCCCCCAGACCTGCAAAGAAGACCAATGGCCTCCATGCCTGAGACTTGGGCTTTTTAACCTTAGGAAAAAAAAAAAGAGAGAAATATTTATCACCAACTGGTTGGCTGAAGGCACCCTGGCATCTACTTATTTATTACAGTTTAACATGAAAACGGGAGGGAAAATGTCAGTGAAAATAATTTGCCAGGTGTCTTTATATTGTGCCTCAGTCAGCTGTGTCCCTTTGAGGCTTTCCCATAAAGAACTAGTAGGATATCCCTCAAACTAGGGCAGATAGCCATTTCTCCATTTAGAAATATTTTGCAAATCATATTTTTTGGCCGATATCGTTCATTTATAACATGTAGTAGTAGTGTGTGCAATAACACTTACAATTGTCTTAAAATAATTGTTATATTGTCATCCAGCTGCTAAGGGCTATATCAAACAAACACTATTGAAGAGAGGGTACTGAAATTCTAAGAACAGAAGGATATATTCCAACAATGGGACAAAGTACCCCGAGGTTTAAAGCCATTTATTAAATTAACGGGAATGTGAGGAAACAGTGGTTTATATGAAGAACACCAAGTGTGAGTATTTTATCAGTACCGTAGTGATCCATCCTAAAACCTAGAATAAAAAAAAAGTGCCTTTTTTAAAAAGCAAAAACCAAGATCTCTTTCAAGATGTGAAATGGATTTCTGTTTCTCTCCCCATATTCCCAGGAGAGATCACTTGTTGCAGTCACATGTCATGTGTTTTCCTGTGAAATGTAAGGGTCACATAGCAAACCTATGAAGTGAAGTAAGTTGAGGGAGTTCTAGGGGAGACAGCGCTCCCGTTCACTCTGGTTCACTCTGGTTTCTAGCCAGAGAAGGAGCTACAGCTAAAAGGAGGAACCATGGTATCCTAAGATATTTGTCTATCTTAAAAACAGGCATCGGCAGCTAATGGTTCCCAAGGAACTCAGAGGCTCTTGGTGTGCCTTCGGAGGCTGAAACCGCATCCCATTTCCTTAGAACACGGCAAGTACCACTTATGTTATAGAGAGACTGTTTTGAAATGTAAAATTTCAGGGGACATGATGCTCGTCACGATAGCATTGGTGAATCTTGACTAACTGCAGTAACAGTACATGAATGTGCAAAATTCGGTAACCACTCAGAATTACCTAATATTATAAAACTAACATTATGTCCCAATATGCCATTATAGAGAAATCATTTTATTTTATGTTTTTTAAAAAATAAAAAGTAAATAAGATGAAGGAAATTAGTCACCCATCTTGGGTGTATTTAATGATAAAACTTAAATGATTGTTGCTTTCAAGCCTCTCTCACAACACGAAATGTGTGTGATCTGTGCATGTGCAAGCAGGTGTGTGCACATATGTACACATGTAATTTATTTCCTATATATTAATATAACAATCCTGATCTATCTATCTATCTACCTATCTATCATCTATCTATGATCGTGTCTGATTTCAGAAGTTCTGACATTCTCCTGAACAATGTACTGTTACCTTAACTAAATATGAAACACATAAATTCAAATCAAGGAAAAACCTTCCTCAAACTGAAGAAACAGCATTCTTACACTCAGCCTAGAGTGAAGTAAAGAGAATGCCAGGGATCTATAGCTCTGCTGGGCTTTAGATCTTTCTGGCAATAAATTAACTGTTATCTTAATTTTTCAACAATGGTAATGCTACAAGAACAACCACCATTTGCTTTTTCCTTTAGGAGACAGCACACAAACTTCTCAAAAGAGTCAAACGTCACACTCGTCCACATTTTTATTAGCAGCCCTTGTCTGCCTGTGAGGCCACCATGGTGGCTTATTATTGCTGTGTGGCTTCTAAATTTGGGGAGAAATTTGGGGTTTGCCCCTTCAATTAGATGACCAATGAACTAAACAAACTAGTTCTTTGGAACTTCTTAACTCTAAGTTTCAACGATCACCACGAACAAAAAACCCAAAGCCATCAGACTCAAAACATTTTGGCCATCAGCTCTAGTGCATTGTATGTCTGAGAAGAATATTTTATTCTACGATAAGAAAAGGAATAGCTATGTCTATTTGTGGGGAAAGTTGAAATTATTCATGTTTTATCAAACGAATTGCAGTCAGTAAAGTGCCACACTGTCATTTACATGGATGTGGCTACATTATGTTCTCAACATGTTCTGTGTGTTATAGGGTGCCGATCTGAGTAAGCAGATGAATCTTTTGTCATGGATATTTGTCCCCGTTTAAATTTTGAGTCATATACCAAGTAATCTGATTTGTCACTTAAACAATTTGGATACATACTAACATACTATGAATAGTATTTAAATTCTTACTTTGAAAATCTCATAAAAAAGGATGAATTCAATCTCATAGAACAAATATCTTCAAACAAAGAAACTGAAGCAGGCTCTGGGATTTTCTTACTGACTTCACCCCCCCCTCTCAATTCATAACCCAAACGAACCAATCATTAAAAGCATTTCAATGTCTATGAAAAAATATTATATGTATATCATACATTTTCAACGTTTTAAAAATTCTTCTACAGGCAGGTTGGGCCATTAAAGGGCTATTTCCCTAACACCACTTTGGTTCTGTAAGTTTAAAACAAGGCAGCTCAAAGATGAAATAGGTGTCTGCAGCAGGGAGAGAAATCACACGTAGATTACTTGAACAAAACCGCACGTTACAATTCACTCTGGGTGGGCTCCAGCCCGAAAGGAAATGGAAACTGCTTCTGGCTCAGACCTTTTGAATTGATACCCCTTTGGGTCACCAGATGCCATATCCTGCACTCCCAAATTAGAAGGAAATCAAAGGCTCATAAGATTCCTTGGGAATCACCAGTGATGCTTGGCAATTTTAAAAAGCACATTTCAAATAATTTACAAGCGTCCTAATGCCTATTTGATAACAGGGTCTCCCTGCGATAGTTTCATGTCCTGGGATCAGACAGTGCGATGAGAAGAAGTACGTGTTTCAACACTCAGATCATTTCTGTTTTGCACAAAGCAAACTCAGACAGGATCTTATCCGTAAAGCAAATAGCTCTCGCATCAAAAATAAGGAAAGTCTTTACTCATGACTTTGAAAACGCTGGCTTCTGTCATCTCGCTAGATATGTTGATATAAGCCTAAACATAAAAGCAGCACATGCTCTTCGTGGGACCCCGGGCTACTCAGAAGTGCCTCAACTGGCCTGGTCTCGCACCTGCAGCCCCAGCCTAAAAAGGCAAAGGCTTTGACTTAAGTCAAAGCCCTCACAGTCCTCAGAAAGGAAAAGACAGACGTGAGCGACACGGATACTATGGATTTCGAATGACTTTTCCTTCCTCTCCTACTCCTAATTGAAAAAACAAAAATCCACCAGTTACCCCAAGTTTTCCTACTGAAATTTAATTCGAAAACACTCACGTGGATTTGTGCGCCGCGCTTTGGGGGCCAAGAATGATCCTGGGGCGCGAAGAGCAGCCGAGGGATCTGGGGGCTCCTGCACCCCGCGGGACCTACCGGGTCTCAGCCTGCCGCGGCCGAGCGTCCCGGGATGGGCTGCACTGCGCCGGGCTGCCGCTGTCGCCGGCCCGGGCGCGGCCGCGCAGGCACTTGTTAGAGTGCCCTGCTAAGTTGGCCGCGGAGCAATTCCCAGCTTTCTTTCACAATGACTTCCTCAAGTTGCTCACTCGCATTGTTCCCCATTTCTCGCCACACTCCCCGCCCCCCGCGGGCTCCGACCGGGCTCCGAGCCCCCGGCCGCCCGGCCGTCCCGCACGACAGCGCCGCCCCGCTGTCGCCGCACCTGGCCCGGGCTCACCGCGCCGCCACCTGCGGCCGCCCGGAGCGCGCGCCCCTCGCCCCGCACCGTGCAAACTTTGGGCTGGCGCACGCGATCCGCCTCCCGTTCGGCTTGTCCCACAGCCCACCCGGCCCGCGCGCACGCCACGCGGCTTCGGGACCCCGGCGGGGACGCGGAGCCAGGCAGAGAGAGGCACCGTGCGGTCCCCGCGCCCGCCGCCGGGTCGTGCTTGCAGACGGCAACTCCGCGACCCGCCGGGCCGCGCACACAAAGTTTGCAGCCGCACGGGGCTCGGGCCCGGCCGCCG